GTGCTATAAAATGCCATGCAGTAAAATATTTTGGCTGGTCATAGGGCCTGCAGCCCAGTTACCATGGCAGAGTCCCTCTCCTCAACTCTTCCTTTCCCACCCTCTGTGATAGATGAGTTTTCTTCTGGGGTTCAAGTGCTCCTGGCAGGTAAACATGGGTGATCCGCCTTCCCTTTTTATCCATGCAGCCATAGGTACAGGAAGAGATGGGCAGTATGAGAATTGCACACCCAGTGTCTAATAAACTAGCGTATTCCCAATTGATGATAAGCCACAGGACAGCAGAGCAAGACTCCTGAGAAGGAACTCACTCTAAGGAAAGCGAAAGTCTGGATTTACAAACTAGACTGTACATCACCATGAGAAAGAAGTAGTGGAAACAGTGTGCTGCCTGAACTGAAACTTGCCTGGATCCAAATGGGCACGTGTGTCCTGTGAGCAAAGCGTTATCACTATTTCAATATAAATGCTGTGCCACTTCGACATTCAAGTGACACACAGAGGAGCTTCTCACTACACACAGGCCATGAGAGGGGCCTCTGGCTTTGCCGAATCAGGTTGATCGTCATTTGAAATAGCAGATCCATTAGGAAACCGTGGCAGATCACGTGGTGACAACCAGAATTCTCTTTCAGGGTCTCATCTTGAGGGGAGCATCTAGGCTCCTTTCTTGCTTATAGAAGATTGACCAAGATTTATTCACAGCCACACAGTATTCTCTGCAATAGCAGGTCAAAGGAACCATGGAGAGGGCCTGGAATTCCAACTATTAAAGGTGTGGTTTCAGAGCATTTTAGTTTGGGGCATAAATATATGTGCAATCTAAATAATAATTAATGCTTGCCATTTGAAAAAGTCTGCAACACAGGGTGATCTAATGCCCCAGTCTTCTCAGGACTGAGAGTTTCCTGGAATGCAAAACTTTCCATCTTAAAAGTGAGAATAAAATATAACTGCAACATAATATATATATAATGTATGTGTGTGTGTGTGTAGAACATAGGTAGAGATACGACGATAAAAGTACATAAGCAGAGATACATACATACATAGGTAGAGACAGTACAATAAAAGGAACCAGGTAACCAGACCGTAAGTAACCAGGTAACCGGACCATATATGAAACTGTACAATACTCATGCCAGTTTGGAAAGCTTCATCTCACTCTGTCACTTGTCATATGTTGGACCTTATATGTGTTGAGAAAGTACCCACCCATGTTCTCAGGTAGGTTAGTCCAGAGGGTCCAAGAAGATGTACTTCTTGTGAGCCAACTTTGAGAAAGATGGATTGCAAATAACAAAGAATAGCACCCATTGTGCAGTTTCCAGCACCTGGAATCATCCTCCCTGCCTGCACGCTACACCTTTTCTTCTTCCAGCCAGGATAGGGCAGAGTGGATTCTGTCCAAAAAGGAGAAAGCAGAGCCCCCAGAAGTAACAGTTCTCCATTCAGAGAAATAAATGTTTCTTAAAATTTTCTATACTGCCCCATTCAGAAGCTTTCCAAGGGGTGGGCTGATTCTCGCCCTTGTGGAAACAATCACTACGAAGGTTTAATGCAGGACTTTAAAAAAAATCCCATTTCCAAATTGAATAGTTTGTCTTATAGGAGGGATTTTGTTTTCTTTTCATGCTGGACCTAAATTTGGCACCCTATGGAAGTTTTATTGCATGGCATTACCCAAGAACTCAGCCAAATCTCCTGAGTCAGGAATGGCAGCTGGGGAAAGTTGAATGAATGGGCTATTTTTTTCCTTCTTTCCTTCCCTTCACTCCATATGTTTTTCAATTTCTGGCTCATAAATTTAATTAAATAAATATTTTAAAATATGAAAGATGGAGAATGTGAGAACTTGATAAATATGAAAGGAGCTTCTAAATCTATGAACATGGCATTTGTGGGGCTATGCTCTAAGTTTAGGTAAAGAGGTATTACGAAGCCTTTATAGGGAAGATGAATTAAGACTTGTCTGAAAGTGAAGAAAGATTTTGGTATCTAAACATGGGGAATGGAGAAGCCATGGGAATGTGGATAGCCCTGGGAGATAAGACTCTTATTATAAGCTCACAAGCGCATTTGTGGAAATGAAGATATTTCTGTCATCTATTTGTTGGATTAGCTTCACAGGAAGGCGGAGTGAGCAAACATGCATTGAATATTCACTTGGTGTTCCAGAGAGACATGTGTTGGCTCCAGCAGCAGCACCAGAGCACCAAAAATGAGACTTTAGCTTATTTTGGAGATGGTTAAAACAAAGATTCAGGGCATGTCTCAAAGTGATGTTGAGGAGGGGAAATAAGGCTGATGCTAAAGAAGAACTAACCTGATGTCTAAAGAAAGAACTAACCCATGTATTCTTTGACAAGATGTCCTCGGGCCAAAGAATAAAATTCTAAACAATCATTGGTGCTGTGGAGTGAGGCTTGCTTTTCATAGAGGCACAGGATAGCAATTCTGAAACTATTCTGTGGGAATTCTAGTATTGAGCAAATAAGTAAATATATTATAGAAGATGGCAGCCAGTGTCCTTCTTTTCAGAAAAGGTAGTTACAAACATGCTGAGGGGAAATGTTGGCAACATTTCGGTGGTGCTGGATTGCAATCGGAGCTTTCAGTGAGAACGCATGGCATATACTGTATAATAGCTACAAAAAGAGATCGACCTATGTGGATATAAATATGGAAATGTATGTGGGTGCAGGTGTGTGTGTGTGTGTGTGTGTGTGTGTGTGTGTACATACGTCTATTTCCTAGCTGTGTGTTCTTAGCGGGCCTAAAACCAAGGAATTGCAGTGCAGTGAGACCACCTGGCTTCCTGATCTTGGTTTTTAAATATTATTCTCTACTAAAAGGAATTAGGGCTCTTTGAAAAAACAATGACTGATTCTGTGGCTAAGGGAGAGAAAGTAAAAGATGAACCTGAAATATGTATATTTTTTCAGAAATTAAGAACGTTCCCAAAGAATGATGGAGACATTTCAAAAGGATACAGAAGCCAGATTGTGGGCGCTTCTACTGGCCAACTCTGAGACATTGTGGACATCAAAATAAATTTGTAATAGTAAAGGATTATAGCCTATTAAATTCAATCAGATTTTTCTGATTTAACTAAATGAGTAGAAGGAAAAGAATGCTCTTCCTTATATTAGAAAGTCAATTAATAAATGCAGAAAGGAATGAAAAAATTAGAATAGCCACCATTTGGCAATCATGGCAGGCAGAATGGGGAGCATGCCTCCAGACCGGAATTCCTTACAAGCTGGCTTGTAGGAACTCACTGAGCTTGCTGATTGACCTCTGAGAGGCAAAGTTTCTGAATTTTGGAGCACTGATTATATAAAGTTAGACAGAGACATGCTTCATTATTTAATAGGACTGTGTCAAAAGCCTACTATTAGGATGATGTGTTGGGTGTGGAACAAGGTCTCTTCCTGCCAGGGACACTGGTGATTTCACTCCATGTTCAGACTGACCTTTGAAGTTGAAGACAAGCAGAAGAATCCTTTTAAAATTTAGCCATGCCCATAGGCTGGGAGGGACCCTGCTCCATTCAGAGGCAGCAAAGCACATTACTGTATCTTCTATAGAGCTTTGAGCAGTCCAGTGCACATGGAGAAACTCAATAAATGTTTGTTGAATTAATGAATGAACAAATGAATGGATGAAGTCAGGGATAAGTCTTACATTTGTCATCTAGGTGATTAAAAAAGGAAAAAGTGTCTGTTTCAAGAGGATTAGAACCTAGTTTTACTCCCGTAGTAAAGTTTACTCTTTTGGAATCTGAAGACATTCATGAGTCTTTGCATCTTATTTCCTGAATTCTAACTTCCCTTGCCTTTATGAATGACAGAGAAGATGCATACAACCTTTGTAAATGCTTCCTGAATTTGAACATTATGTTGCTTTGTGATTGTTTCCACTCGGGATTCTAAATGACCTCATGTGGATTCACTGGAGGCCTTGGGTAGCAGGGAAACTGAGGGGATAAGATGCACATATGGTACACAAGCACACGTACACCAGCAAAGTAAATAGACACGTAACTAGAAACAGCTGTGCAGAGCCATTTAGTAAAAGGTTGAGTAGCTGGAACCATCAGGAGTGGGTGGGAATGAGTTCAAGCTCCTCCCATGAGGCCTTCCTAAGGCTTTGCAGGAGGGCAAGAACAAGGTCTGGGAAGTAGGGAAATGGGATGGCTCCGTCTGTCCTTAGCATCTCGATCCTGGCTGACTCTCCACCTCTCCTCACCCCTGCAAGATTACACACTTTGATTTATGTGATATTTAGGCAGAAAGCAGCCTAGAGCACTCTGGGGGTATTAACCAAGAAGACATACAAATCAGATTGGACGAAAGGGGAAAGAAGCCTCAGACATCTGCATGGGAATAAGAAGGATATTATATGCTACTTGACCTGATCTCTTTCCTACTCAGGAAAGTCAGTGGATAAAGAATAATATTGATAGAGCATGGAGAGTTGAGAGGCAAGACTTGCAGCATTCAAGTCTGAATTCCTGTCCTGAATATGATATTTGTACTCCCCCAACTCCCTGGTCTCCAAAGGAATCTGGTCTGTCACTAAACAGCATCTTCTCAATCTCCTCCATGTCGCAAAGTGGGGGAGTGGGGGGAGTGGAAAAGGCATGTCTTTATTTTGAAGATAAGAAATTTACATGTTTTTTAGTTAAACTAATCATTTCTAAGGGGTAATATATCGTAGGATCAGACATTTCTAGAACTGGAAGGATCTTTTAGAAACCACAGAATCTAAGCCCCTTATTATACAAAGGAGAAATCTGAAACATGGAAAAAGAGAATTTGCCTGATGTCTCAGAAAGACTAAGCAGCACTGGCACTATGAACAAGAGCTAAAAATCCCAATTCCAATACTAAAAAGATGAAACGGTACACAAAACTTTACCATCTACACAACTGAATCTTCTTTCTTTCTCATCACACTTTGGTTGTCATGCAAAAATATCCAGCTTGATCACTCACCTTAGTCATCTGAAACATCTGAGACAAATCCAATTCCAGTGCAACTGCCACGCAAGGTTATGCCTCTCTCCAGTGGCCTCTGTGCTGCCAAGAATCTGTGGATTTGACAACAGGAATGTAGGTGGAGTTTTGAACAATGGCGGCATGGTTGGAACAGGCATGCAATTCCTAAAATTTATGAGTTGTGATTGTGTATGATAGTGGTTTAAGTTTGGAGTTTGAATATTGTCTCTGCCACTTTATAGCAGAGTGAATTTGAACCAGGTGCTTACAGCCTACCTCATTAAATGACATGTGTGAAGCACTGAGTATAGCATCTGCATTAAAATAACCACCATTCATGTAAAATGTATTAATACTGTCTTATCACTTCCATTTCTAGAATAAGTCTAAGCCAATATTTTTGTAAGTTTTTTCTCTTTTTTTTGACATGGAGTCTCACTTTGTTGCCAGGCTGGAGTACAGTGGTGCAAACTTAGCTCACTGCAACCTCTGACTCCCAGGTTCAAGCAATTCTCCTGCCTCAGCCTCCTGAGTAGCTGGGACTACAGGCACCTACCACCACGCCCAGCTAATTTTTGTGTTTTTAGTAGAGATAGGATTTCACCATGTTGGCCAGGGTGATCTCCATCTCTTGACTTCATGATCTGCCTGCCTCGGCCTCCCAAAGTGCTGGGATTACAGGCGTGAGCCACCACAGCTGGCCTATTTTTGTAACTTTTAGAGGCCAATATGCAGGCCTTCTCTTGCTGTCCTTAGGTCCTCTGCCACCAAAGCATGGGAAGAAACTTAAGCTAGCCTACTGGAGAATAAGAGACACAAAGTCCTATGTCCCACATTGCCCTGACTGGCAGCTAAGCAATTGCTAGACTGTGTGAGTGGGACCATCTTCAGTCATCCAGCCCCCTGCAGACTCTCCAGCTGTCTGCAAATACATAAGCAAGTGGGGGAATGATCAGTTGAGATACCCTAAACCAGAAGAACTGCTCAACTGACTCAAAGAATTGCCAATTAAATAAACAGTTGTTGATTTAAGCCATCAGTTTTTGGGGAAGGTTGTAACCAGCCGAACTAATGGATGCAGTGTCCTATGTGTTCATGCCCCAAATGAATGAGAGATGATATATGTAAGGAAGGTGACAAGAACCCTCCACCAGCAGGATTCTTCTTTCAGCAGAGAAGATGGTTTTGCATGGAGTTATCCCCACCCTCTCCCTTGGCTCTTCCCTTCTGGGGAAGAGTGAAATTTGTGACCCCTGAAAGGAGACTGCTGGCTGGGTGTGGTGGGAGACCAGGATATGACCTGATCTCATTAACACCATGCGCGCTAACTAGCTGGGCCAATCAGTCTGTCTCTGTCCTCCTGGAAACTCTTACCACCCACTGTCTCCCAGACTAGAGCACCCCACCCACCAAACCTCCCTTCGAAACAAAGACGCATGCAAGCACGTAGTGGAAATGCCAGGCCATGACACTTGGCAGAAGCCTGCCTCCAGGACTCTCTTGGGGTTCCAGGAGGCAGAAATGGATTCCAAACAAGTGTGAATCCAAACAAGTTGGATTCACAGGTGCCAGGAAGGCCTTACTCCTGGGCACAACAGGCTCCCATAAGATGGCTCCAGGAAGAGAAACTCCACTTACTCCTTCAGAAACTCATTCTCACTTTTCCAATCCTTTCTATGAAAAATGTTCTTACTCATGTTAATTTAATCTATTTTCTTTCTTTCTTTTTTTTTTTTTTAGACGGAGTCTCGCTCTGTCCCCAGACTGGAGTACAGTGGTGCAATCTCAGCTCACTGCAACCTCCAACTCCCTGGTTCGAGTGATTCTCCTGCCTCAGCCTCCCGAGTAGCTGGGATTACAGGCACGCGCCATCACGCCCAGCTAGTTTTTGTATTTTTAGTAGAGACACAGTTTCACCATGTTGACCAGGATGGTCTCGATCTCTTGACCTCAAGATCGCCTGCCTTGGCCTCCCAAAGTGCTGGAATTATAGGTGTGAGCCACCGCTCCTGGCCTGCCTATTTTCTTTATCTCAATTCCAGGCCATATCAAGTGCCAATTTTATTAGCATTTAATATTTCAAAGACATGGATGTCTTGTTTGGAAGACACCATTCAAACCCTCCAGTCCTCTTCTTTGTACCAGCATATGAGGGTAAGAAGAGAACAAAAAATTATGTCCTCAGGTAGGTCAGTTTTACATGGTTTTAATTCACTGTTGCACATTCCATCTATGTCCACCCTTGTTTTTTGAAGACTCCCCAGCTCCTGGGCCCTTAAGAAAACAATATATATCAGAAGGATGGATTTGGCAACCCTTCCAGAATGGCCTTTTCTGCCCTAACATTCTTATGCCTCACTACATCTGTTTTCAGCTCTTTGGTCCTGAACACTCTCTTGCCAATAGCCTTTTCAGCATTATCGACTTCAGCTTTCTAATCTGGTTTTATTCTCTGTTTATCTCTCTGATTTTAGCATTTCCGTGTGAACCAGATGAGAACCCCTGCTCCAAAATCAGTGTCCTAGCCTGTTATTAATGTCCTCATTTCTACCGTTAGATAATCTTTGCTTTAAGTGAGGAGCCAGAAAACTTTTTCTATAAAGATCCAAATAGTAAATATTTTAGTCTTCACAGGCCACATATACTCTTCATCGCATGTTCTTTCTTGTTTTCTTTTTTAACATTTAAAATATAAACATCATTCTTTGCTTGAGAATTGTGCATAAACAGGTGTGGGCTAGGTTTGGCTTGCAGGCTCATGGCTTGCCTTTAAAGCAGAGTCTATTCTTTAAAACAAAGAATATTGTAAATATTGCCTTTAAAGTAAAGCAGAGTCTATTCTTAAAACACAAATATTCCTGGAAATAGTGAATAACCAGCAACTCAATGTGAGTTAGTTCATTCTCTTTCTTTCTAGTTCCAACTGGATGGAACAAGGTTGTAAAGAAGGGATGGGGAAGATAAGGATTTTTCAGGCCATTCCAGTTGTACAGTCAACAGGAAGAATAAAAATACTGGGAGCTTTGAACAAGGAGGAGGAAAGAAAAAAGGTCTGAGTCAAAGTGCTCTACCATGTGTTAATGGCTGTGGCCAGGATGATATTCAAAATATGTAACAGCTGGTAAAGCATGTGCATGACCAAGTCAGAAGGACAGCAAGTAGCCTTTGTGCTGGATCAGGGACTGGAGGTTTCTGCTGTACCACACATGAATGCTTTTGTTGCTGGATCTTGGGGCAATCCAGATGCAAGCTGGGTACAGGGCTCGGAAGTGAGTGGTCATGTTTATTACAAGGCCTAAAATTTCATGTGCTGCCTTGACATGTTTTAGCTTCACAGGACCCAAAATAGCCAAACTGTGAATTCTTCTGTTCTTGTAACATATACCCCTTCACTCACCTCTCAGGTAGACCAGCTGCACACCATGTGGGCTTCAACCTAGTGAGCTTTAGTTCCCTGCAGGCCTATGGAAGTATTCAGACAAACCAACTACTTCCTCCCGTGGGAATTAGGGGGCACCTCACCTTCTTGTTACTACAGAGTCTGCCTTCCACAGCCTCTGCTTGCTCACTCTATTCCCAAGTGCAATCTCCGTGTGGCCCTGCAAGGCATTTGGCATCCTCCTCCTGTGGACTGTTAGTAAATGTGACTACTAAACTGCTGTTAATCTCATCTGTCCATTATTGGGTATCATGTTCAGCCATCTCATTCTATGTAGGGTGGGGAGTCTCTCCCTCACAAATGGGGTGAACACGACGTGATCACAATGAGGTATCACCCTGGATTTTTGAAGCAGTGACTATTTACCAACCAGTAAAGAAGTAGTTAAGTGTTTTAACAACCAGCACATCTGTATTTGAACCAGCATGGTTGTGATGTGATTTGGAGTTCCTACTACTCCTCTCCTGTAAATTTCTTGGATTGGAAACTGTCACTCTTCAGTTAGGAATGCTGAACAGATCCCAGTGCTTTAGTGGTGGCGTGGACAGAATGAACTAGGGAGGCTACCACATTCGTTTGAAAGTACACTGTTCTAGACATCTCTGTAAGGAATAAATTACTGGGTTCTGTGCTAATCTGTGCTAATTGCTATAAAGGGATACCTGAGGCTGGGTAATTTTTAAAGAAAAGAGATTTAATTGGTTCATGGTTCTGCCGGCTGTATAGGAAGCATGGTGCCAGCATCTGTTTCTGGTGAGGACCCCTAGAAGTTTAAAATCATGGTGGAAGGTGAAGGGGGTACAGGTGCATCACATGGCAAAAGCAGTGTGGAGTCAGCAGGGAGGTGTTCCATGCTCTTTTAAACAACCAGATCTTGCATGAACTCAGAGCAACAACTCAGTTATCACCAAAGGGATGGTGCTAAGCCATTCAGAAGCGATCCACCCTGATGAATGATCTAATCGTCGCCCACCAGTCTCCACCACCAACACTGGGAATCACCGATCAACATGAGATTTGGGGGAACACACATCCAAACCATATCAGGTTCCCACAATATGACTACAGTTCTTGTGTTACTGAGGATAAGAGAAAATAATAAAGAAACCGTATGTAACGTCATCATGGAATCTCAGGGAAGGAAAGGAACTCACAAGTCGTCTAGTACAGTCTGTTCATTTTTCAAATGACGTTGAGACCCATGAAAGGAAAATGATTTGCGCAAGGTCACACTGGAGAAAAGCCTGGGAGAGAAAGGGCAAGGAGAAAACAGGAAGAGAGAAAGCAGGTATGAAAAAGCAGATGGAAGGTTCCTGTATGTGGTTTATGGTTGCCCATGAATGGGGAAGTGAAACTAGAACCCTCAAAGAGCAAACTTGTCGAATGCTTGGCTTCTAGCCCCACTCAGGAGTTACTATTTCAGTCAAAAACAAATGGAACTTGCAAATAAAAGACATTGATATCATTATCATGATTAGTAACGTTTTCAGATGTACTCATATTAAATCCTTGACCTTGTTGTCGACTCTGAGGTAGGCAGATGCAATTTTTACTTGTATTAACACACCAGCATCCTGCATTGTGTTACTGTGCCAAGTCACACATCAGAAAGATTCTGACTCCAGGTCTCCCATTAGGTGAATGTCCTCTTTCAAGAAGGAAAAACTTCATCCCTGTTGGATGGACCTCTCTTTTTTAAATCAGCAGTCTGCTCAGTTTTAGTGAAATGCAGGGGTTTATACTGAAAGCAGGTGCTGAATTCCAAGTGAAGGCAGACATTGTCAACAGTGCTCTAAGAGCTGGACAATGTGAAGCCTGTCCCAGGTTTTGGCACTAACCAGTTGTGGACATGTCATGCCTCTCACTCTAAAATGAGGAGTCTGCAAAGGATGACGTCTGAAGTGCCTTCCAGCCCTGCCATCCCAAGGTTATGATGGTGTGATGGGGTCAGGCCTGGTCCTGACTTCCCGTCCCAGTCAGCTGGTGAACGGGATGTGAGCTCACAGGGAGGAACGCACAGGAAGGCTTTGGGTGGAGTGCACCTACTAACATACATTAGAGTACAGAATAATCTCACATCTTCCCATAAGTTGTAGTGAGTCACCAGGGCGAGCTGTGGAGCATTTTTCTCTGGTGTCTTCCAAACTATAGACTATTTCCCACGTTTAAGACCCATAAAAAAATCAAAAAATGTATGTATACACCATATGGGAAAAGCTGGGTGAGATAGGCACTGCCCACCCACTACTTATGGAAATGTATGCTGGAGCCATCTCATTGAAGGGCAACTGTCAACATCCATCAAAAGGACAAGCACATATTCCTCTGACTCAGCAGTTCCTCATTACAATGGACTAAATGTTTACATCACTTCACAACTCAAGTGTTAAAAATCCTAACCCCCAGGGTGATGGTGTTAGGAGCTAGGGACTCTGGGAGGTCACTGGGGACTCTGAGCAAGGAGCCCTAGTGATTAGGATTAGTGCCCTTAATAAAACAGGCCCCAGGGAGAGTCTCACCCCTCCACCACCTGAGAATACAGCAAGAAGGTTTACCAAACACTGAATATGCTGGTGCATTGATCTTGAACTTTCCAGCCTCTAGAATTCTGAGGAATACATTTCTATGGTTTACAAGCCACTCAGTTTATGATATTTTGTTACATCAGCCCTAATGGATTAAGACACTCATCCTGGAAATTATCTGACATTATACCAACATACATATTATGTCACTCAAAGCTGTATTGATTCTAATAGCAAATGACTGAACACAACCTAAATGTTCATTAATAAGAGACTAGATAGCCATTAATAAGAGACTAGATAGAGATTGCTGTTCTGTAGCAATCTCCTTAGCTATAAATTAAATGAGGAAGATTTTCACACTTGGGCATGATTTCTAAACTGGATTATTAAATGACAAAAGCAAAATGCAAAGTAAGGAAGTGCTAAAAAATGTCCGCAATGACAGGATTATATCAAAGGAACACAGGAGCCAACTGAAAGAGCTCCCAACAGCCAAAACTGGAACAATTTCAGCAGCAAAATAAAGTAGAATTAGATTACGCTATGGACTGACTTATATGCCCCCAAGATTCACAGGGTGAATCTCCTACCCACTATGTGACTGTATCTGGGAACTGGATATTTATTTAGGAAGTAATTAAGGTTAATTGAGGTCACAGGGAAGGGGCCTGATCCCATGGGATTATTGTCTTTGTAAGAAAAGGCAGGAGAGAACTCGCTCTCTCTCTTTGCCGTGTGAAGACACAGGGAGAAGGAGGCCTACTGCAAGCCAAGAAAAGAGCTCTCACCAGAAATCAAATTGGCCAGCACTTTGATCTCCGACTTCGCAGTCTCTAGAAGAGAGAAAAAACAAAATTCCCTGTATATGACATTTTGTTATGACAGCTGATTAACATGGGTTATGACACAAAGTATAAAATATGTATGTATGTGTCCACATGGCTACAAATAAATGACTGGATAAATAAATAACTGGGGAGAAAAGACAAATCTCTTATGCAAAAAGTTTTCAAATAATTTGTGCAGTTATTCTTAAGGAGATAGAGCATAAATCCCAATTCTGAAGTGTAGGCTGTACCTAGTGCCTTCCTTCCAAAGAGTACAGCGTGCAAAGAGAGGAAAAAAAGTAACTTCATAGTGAAGAAACCTAGCAAACACCTTCAGTCAGGTGATCAAGGTTAATATCCAGTGATAAGTCATATTGACAGCAGGTATCTTTGATACGAAAAATGGCAGTTTACCTCTGTGGTCACCCATAACCCTAGGCTAACCCTGCAAAAACCTCAGGAAAATCCCAGTCAAGGAACATTCTACAAAATAACCTGGCAGCATTCCTCAAATTTGTCAAGGTCATCAAAAACAAGGAAAATCTGATAATCTGTTAGAGCCAGGAGACTCCTAAGGAGACACAACAACTAAATGAACTGTGGTGTCGTGGAGGTGATCCTGCAATAGGAAAATGACATGAGGTAAACACAAATGATATCTGAGTGAAGTACAAACTTTCATTAAATATAATGTGTCAGTATTGGCTTATTAATTGTGACAAATGTATCTAACTAATGTTAAGCTATTTAGTAGAGGAACGTGTGTGTGTGTGTGTGTCTGTGTATGTGTGTGTGTGTGTGTGTGTGTCTGTGTATGTGTGTGTGTGCGTGTGTGTGTAGGGGGTTAGTGGGAACTCTATTCTACTTTTGCAATTTTTTATAAATTTAAAGCTATTCTAAATCAAAAGGTGTATTTAAAACAGAAACCAGTGTAGAGCAATATGCTTTGCATATTCACCTTTGTATTTTTTTATAGGAATAATAAGAGACAGAAAATAAGCCTTTCTGGAAAAAATGCACAAAACTAGAGAGGAACTGAATACATAAGGCTTTTTACAGTATTCCCTTTTGTACATTCTGAATATTGTTCCATGGGGATACATTATCTATTGTTTAAAAGTTCCATGTGAAAATTAATAAAGATCTCAATTAAAAAACCATCCCTTATTCTGGCACAAAGAGAATGGTAATGACCTCAGAGACTCCGTGCAGACTCCAGGTTGTGAACCTAACTGTGGTACTCCAATCCAGGTGGACTCTCACAGAGGAGAGGATAACTGGGAAGATGTGTCCATATGGCAGGCGCTTTACGCAAAAGAAAGTCAGCATAGAGAATAAGTTGTCAGAAAAGGTTATAGAGCTTCAGAGACTTCATGAGATCAAGACATATAGGCCTCAGCATCTGGAGAAGGGAGTTGAGGCACCAGAGGGAAGGAGCAAGGTGAGATTTAAAACAACCAGACTACAGCCAGTGCAGCTGGCCCAGATGGTCCCTGCCTGTTCAAGCTTCCTCAGGCTCCTGTCCCCAGGAAGGGATGTGATGAGAGTGTGAATTGAAAATAAGGACTTGGATGCAGAAAAAGAAAATGCCTCAAACCTTTGCTCAGTCCTTAACCCAGGGCTGTGAGAGGCATAAAGGGAGTTTCATGGGCTTCTTTTGTTTATTGTTTTATATATACAGAAAGATTTCTATATTTTTGTACTACTATTCTTTTTGTTGAACTAGTTTCCCATTTTATGTGCTCCAGCCTAAGAAGCCTTAGTTTGGAGACTTCTGCAGACAGTCATATTTCTTTCACTATCCACACCGTATATTTGGGCCCTGATTAATTAAATACCAAACTATATCTGTGCACTTTCCTGCATTGTTCTCTAGAAAAAGTAAAGTGTGAGTCTGGTGCCCTAGACATGATCAACAAACTCCTTGGGGAGGAAGCATGTCTTGTACATCTCGTACATCCTGCAGCCAGCTCAGGGGTGGGCTAACAGCTATTTCATTATTCTAGATCTACCTCTTCTTGGTTGGTTCCCCAACTTCTGTGTTAATGTTGTATCTCATAGCTGAGCAGAGCACATGATTTATTGTCCCCAAACAGGACATAATTGAAAGTGTGATGGTATTAATAATACTGCAGGACATCAGGCATAAACTCGGATTGTCCTAGGACAAACCAGAATGTAAGGTCGGGCCCAGGCATAACATTTACTGTGCCCAGGGGAGGAGTACAAAAGGAGGCCCATCTATCACATCTAAATATGTAAAAGCCCTACATGAAGCTAAGGAAGTATTAAATAAATATGTCTTCCTGCCACAATATGGTGGCTTGTGGTGAGCTGGCTGCAGTCCCAGCCCCTGGCCCCATGATCCTGGGTTACCCCCTTTCTTTTTCCTCCCCAGGCATCTTCCCACATCATGAAGGGCCTGGCAGGCTCATGTATAGGCAAACTGGCTCACATTCCAAGCACTGTTTTGGCTCCCCTGAAATAGCTGCTCCGTGGCCACCCACTGAGTGGGAGGCAGGGTCTTTCCTTGGGAAAAGAATTTTGGGGTACCATGTACCCAGAATATAGTCTAGAAGGTAGAGCACCAGCTCTGGATGGACATGACCCTGTAATCTGGTAGGTTCCTCATGCTCTAGGAAAGAGCACGACCAGAGGGCCAGAGTGGTACCCTCTAGATTGTGGGACCCATCAGAGAGCTCCTCTTGTCTGATTTTATGAACTTAATGGTATCCCCCCAAAATCCACATGTTGAAGCTATGATCCTCAAAGGGATTATATTTGAAAATAGGGCCTTTAATGGGGTAATTAAATAAAGTTAAATGAGGTCATAAGAATGGGGCCCCAATCCCACAAGCAAGAGGAAAAGATACCAGAGATTCGCACTCTCTCCCTCTCCTTTTCTTTTTCTCTCTCTACACATGTACAGAGAAAAGGCCATGTTAGGACACAGCCAGAGGTGGCTATTTAGGAACCAAGGAGAAAGGTCAGCAGAACCTAACCCTGCTGATACCTTGATCCTGGGCTTCCTTCCAGCCTTCAGAACCGTAAGAAAACACATTTCTGTGGTTTAAGGTCCCCTGTTTGTGGTGTTTTGTTATGGCAGCCCAAGCAAATTAATGCAACTGGGAATGAGTGTGATCCTGTGTATCGTCACGTCAATCTTAAATGGGCTCTAAGTGCCTTCCAAGTGTTAGGAAAATGAGAGAAAGGGCCCTTGAAAAGGAAGGCATAGATCAAGAAAAGAAGAGTGGGAGGTAAAGAAAAAAGGCCATAGATTCTGGAGCACAGTACATTGTCAGGAAGATTGGGGCCTGTGGAGCCTTCTTCATTCATTCCTGCATTCATTTAACAAGCACGTGCTACATTCCCACTTGTGCCAGGCATTGTGCAGGGCGTTGGAAATGCAGTTTGAAGTATTAGGTTGCTGTTAAAAAAAAAATGGCAAGAACTGCATTACCTTTGTACCAGCCTAATACAAAAGGCCTCTGTTCTCTACGGACCTACTTTCTAGTGGGATTCACTGGGTGATGGGGTCAGGATGGCCCAGTAAGTCCTACAGAGGTGGATGAGCAGTGTCCTTTTGGAAAAGCATGCTGATCCAGGATCGCTTAACCTCATTCTCCAAATGTTCATCTCAGAGGGTGACCCAAGGTCACAGGAGGTCCCTTTGTTGCCTTGGTGATCACCTCTCCCTGGGCACCTGGGGCAATTGAAGGAGGATGGGTGTGATAAACCCTTCCAACATCTGAGCTCAGCTGGGACCCAGATGTGTCTCTGGGTAAAAGAGTAGGACTGGGAGGTCACAGAGAGGTGAGCTCAGACAGGCTGTAATTCTTGGCTCTGGGTGTGAAAAGGTCGGTCAAGACAGCAGCACTTCAGAGGGCAGGTGTGGGATTCCTGAAGGTCCTGAGGTGGGCATAGCTGGCTCCCAATCCCCCACCTGTCAGAAAGTCACTGGACTAGACATTTCCTGGACTCGCTGGCTACTTAATCCACCTGGGATTAGTTAGCCTTGATTTCCCACCAACCTAAGAAAAGTATTTCAGCACTTTCTTGCTTTATTTCAAAAGGAAACAAAGGAAAAACTGGGCTTTCCTCCTCCTCTTCTCCCTCTTCACCTCCTCTCCAAACAGAAGTGGATCTAATTTCTCAAGCTTAGCTCAGTATCTCACACATGGCATTATTTTGAGCCAGGATTTTTAGTAACATGTGGTTCTCAGGGCCTCCACATAAAATCAATCTGATTAGTATTGATCGCCCAAATAATAAAAAATTAGTACTTGTTTACTTTTTTAGGGAGGAATTTTCTTTATTTTCCCCCATCCCACATCTTTTTAATTGTCAGCTCTTTTCAAAATTATAAAAGTGCCAGTTGGCCCCCTATCAGAACATGCCTCTGGGTTTTCATGGTTGGAAATTAGGAGTAAAAGAACCTAAATATTTTCAACTGCTGCTTCCAAGTGAGGGAATGGAAGAATAATATGTTCCACTCACACCTCAAACATGAGACCAGCTTTCAAAGGTTCTGGATACTGCTTTGGACTCCTCTTTGAAAATTTTAATCAAGCAACTCTCCCAATTAAAATGATATGGAAAAAAAAATCAAAATACTAAAAGAAGAGTCAATCTTGTATTTTACAGCCAGCTTTACCTGGAAGGATAAGCAGCAACCTATGATTCTGAATGGTGTGGTCATCACTTGTGTTCAGTTTTATTCTGTCTGTCTGTCTGTCTGTCTGTCATCTGTCTGTTGTCCTCAAATCTTTGAATTTATCAAGTAACATTCACCTTCCAGTCTTAAAAGGATCAGTGTAAAAGGGCTATGCAAATGGAGGACATTCTGCTTCTAAAATGGAGGAAAAGATTGGCGTGAGTAAACATATCAACTTATTAGACTGAAAAGGCCTTTTCCACTTTTTCTCAGGAGACTTTCACACTTCTGTGCCCATTACTGCACCCCCTATTTATGCCTGCTCCATAGGACCCACAAAGTCTTTCTCCTG